GCAGTTTTTTTTTTTTTTTTTTTGGTTTTTTTTTGACAGGGTTTCTCTGTGTAGCTTTGTGCCTTTCCTGGAACTCACTTTGGAGACCAGGCTGGCCTCAAACTCACAGAGATTCACCTGGCTCTGCCTCCCAAGTGCTGGGATTAAAGGCGGGCGCCACCACCGCCCGGCTAAATACATAAACTTTTAAAGGTAACATATGTATCTATATTAATACAAGTACAGGCTATGTGTTGTGCACAAGTTAGCCAAAGATGATTTTTTGTTTTATGTTTGAGCAGGTAAAATATACATTATGTGTTTTGTAGTCTTTCTAGGTGTATTTCTTTATGTCAATAGTCAGGATTTTCAGGGGGTCCTCCCCAATCAAACCCAATCCATATCAACCTGGAATGAATCCACAGCTTCTCATTTCCTGTGGAAATAAAAGCATAACCTCTCCCCCAAAGTAACATATCTTTTGACTTCCATTTTGAAGTCAAGACACTTTTTAAATATATATGTTGGTTTAATCCAACAGTATTCATAATCCAATGTGTCTTAGCAGCTGTCATTCCTTCATCAGCAATCAGAAAATTCAAAGACAACACAATAACATACAGAACTGACTCCCCATGTATTTTTCATCTTTGCATGACTTTTTTGTTTATATTACTTTATTCTTTCTTTAAAGACTTTATTTTATTATTTTTAAACTATTTTTTTCTGTGACTGTCTATATACCATTTCTCTTTTCTCTCCTAAGCCTATGTACATTTTTAAAAACACTGCAATCGGTTTAGAGGTTTCTTTCATCTGGATCTGTCTTTACTGTGTGTCTGTAATCTTTTCTGTCTTCATGAGCAAAACTGAGACTACTGTGCAGCTTAGATCATGGCTTGCTGGCAGCTGACTCCTCCCTCCTCTGTTCCCCCAGAGCCCAGTCTCATGGCGGAGGTACCAGTGGGAACCATGTTTACTGACAGCTCTGGGAAGGTTTTGGTTCTATGCTGCTGTAGGTGTCTCCACCCAGTCCCATGCCATGGAGCAATGTGCTGCCTGCTTCTCATAAATCCCACACAAGTGCTTGGCAGCAGGGCCTCCCAAAAGAGCCATGCCTCTGTTTGTTGTTAGCACTGAGTTTACTTGAAAGAAGGTGGTATCAGGAAGTTGCATTTGACTCTGTGTGTGTTTAGAACCTTTTATGAGTTTGTTTTTGTTTGTTTGTTTGTTTTTGTTTTTTGAGTTTTTCTGTGTGTAGCTCTGGCTGTTCTGGAACTCACTCTGTAGATCAGGTTGGCCTTGAACTCACAAAGATCCACCTGCCTGTCTCTCTGAGTCCTGGGATTAAAGGCATGTGCCACCCTGAACCTTTTCTTAAGTATTCTCAGGTTTTATGTGGATATATGTGTTCCCACATTGAGTGCCATACGTAGGCAGAGTTTCTCTGTGTCTTGGCAGTTGCTCCCAAATAACCACACAGAGACTTATTATTAACTATAAATGCTCAGTTGATAGCTTAGACTTGTCTCCAGCCAACTCTTACATCTTAAATTAATCCATTTCAATCAATTATGTGATACTATGTGGATCATTGATCATTACCTCATTTTGTACATGTCCTGCTCCCTCTGTGTCTGGCTGGAGACTCCTCTGACTCTGCCCTTCTTCCCAGCATTCTCTCTGCCCCAACAATCCTGCCTAGCTATCAGCCAATCAGCTTTCTATTAACAATGAGAGCAACACATATTTACAGTGTACAAAGATTGTTCCATAGTAATCTGGTTTGAGGCCTCTGGTTTCTACTACACTATTAATGTTGGGTCCTCACTAGGACTCTTCCTGAGTATCATGTTGTTGCCCTGTGTTGTGGAGATCTTGCAACTTTGGGTCTGCAAGTCAGGTTCCTTCACATGCTCTGGCAGGTCATGAGGGGTGGATGTTGGGGCAACCCAAGTTATAACCCTGGGTCTGGGCCTGGGTAGCTAAGGGTTGGTCTGCCAGATGAGAGATGGGGACGGCTCTCCCATGTTTATAATTTGGGGGCTGGCTCACCCACACCTGAGCTAAGAGGGTTGGTTCTCCTGTTTTTATGACCTCAGGGCCAGCTCTCCCACCTGCCCCGGTGTTGGTTTTAGTTCTTACATTTGTCATTAATTCACTTTGAGCTGCCTTTTATGAGTTGGAAGCAGGAGTCCAATTGGGTCTTTTTGCTTGTGCAAAACTCTTTGTTCCCACACTGTTGGTCGGGGAGATATTGAGGGAATCCCTGCAGGTTCCATACAGGGAAGCAAACCGCCAGAAGAGATAAGAATGAAAACTCCATCAACTTGGATCAGACTTTGGGGAGTCTAATAACAGGCAGTTTATTCACAAGGTATTTAAGCCCAGTGTAATTTGGGGGGAAAAGTTTCCTGGTGCAATACAATCCCCATTGCACAAGGAAGCATAATTACATTGAAACTCAACTTGGGGTACATGCCATTTCCTCCAAGAAGATGGGTTCTGGAGATAGGCTACCTGTACTAGCTTAAGTGACTGAGGGTCTGGCCTGACCTTGTTCATACAGATAGTGTAGAGGTCATTTGGGATATTAGTGACCCCTGTCCTGGTTGTGGGAGGTTGGGGGAGCCTCTGGCTGTTGGGTCATTTAGATTACTAGCCACCTCCAGTCTTGGTTGTAGGAGCTTCACATGGCCTGGCCCACCAGATGACACAGATCACCCGGGATGTTAATCACTTCCAATTCTCAGCTTTCAGAGTGGTAGGACAGGTTTTTCATCTTTCCCATTGGAAAGACAATCCTGCATGCTTAACATTCCTGGTTTCTCTGGAGATCGGTGGGCTCCAGGACGTTCATGCTATGCTCCCAACAAGATGTCTTATTTATTTTGTGAGTCTAGCGAGCAGCACAGGGCTTCCCCTATGCTCTACGAGCAGCAGATGCTGCAGATGGCAGGTTCTTCATGGATGTGCTTCCTAAGAAGATGTTAAGATCTCTGAGAAGTTTTGTTATGAAAATAACACAGCACACTTGAGAACACTCACTTGGGGCTCTTGAGTGATGGAAACTATGTGCTCCTTTCCAGATCAACTCTTTGCTAACTTGGACAAGTTCCTGAGCCTGAAAGAACTGTCTATAAGTGTAAATGGCATTCCAGATGTGCTCTTGGTCATCCCTGGAGATTTCTCAAACCTCCACCACATGGAGAAGTTATCCATCCAAACCTCCACAGAGTCTGACCTCTCCAAACTGGGTAAGAATGGTGCTTGGATGTCTCAGGTCATGTGTCAGCTGGAAAAGCTACTTGGCTAATAATTGTTAGAATCATGAAGTCATCATTAGTTAAAACTTCTGTGAGCCTGACAGCATGAACTGTGTCCATGGGAAGGTGTAGGAACAGTGCTCTTCCTCATTAAGAGGGCAGACATTTATTTGTAACCCTGAGTTTCTAACATGACTGGAATTGTTCTGAGTTCTGCACAAAAACTCACTCATTCTTCAGACCACTGTGTGAGAGATGACACGATGATTATTGCTGATTCTCAACTGGGGAAACTGAGGTCAGCAATTGCTCAGGTTTATCCAGCTAAGAAAATGATTCTTTAAAATTTTGAGAAGGTGTGACTCCAGGGCCTGAGGTTTAAACTTCCAACACACTTCTCTCCAAGGTAGTTTGTGGAGTTCTTTTCTCTTGATGTTGTTTTAGTGGCGCTTGCAGATCTGCCTGCTGAGGGAGGAAATCTGACTGGGGGCAACCTGGACCTTTCCTCCACTTCTCTCCATCCCAGCCTCCTGTTGATGGACAGCTGTGCAGACATCTTTCTAGAACATGTCATTTAACAAAATGACTCAGGCCCCATCAGATCCTTAATTTGTTAAACCCTGAACACTGAGGACTAAAGAAATACAAACCTGGGACTGACATGCAGGTCAAAAAGTCATGCATGCCTCTCATCAAAGCACTTGGGAGGCTGCTGCAGGATTATCACAACTTCAAAGCCAGCCTAGCTATGTGGTGATTTCCAGGCCAACACTACCCACAGGAAAAAAAAAACCCAACCAAACAACAGAAAAATTCTGTCCAATGAGATGCCAAGTCCAAGTCCAATAACAGGTTGGGTCTGTGGGATCCCATGGCAAAAAGATAGAACAGATTTCCCCCAAAGTTGTCCTTTTGCACCTCCCCCCCCACACCACACACACATAGCAAATTATTTAACTAAAAACATATTTAAGTTGTACTTCAGAGTTGCCCCCTCTTTTATGTGACTCTGTACAGAATTCCTGCTGCGTCAGGGCAGTGTGCAAACACGGAGATATCAGGGTGCTGATGCTGAAGGTGAAATATGGAGAAGAGAAAACTGATCCAGAGAGGGTCAGGAACCTGCCGCAGGTCTTCTGTTCACCAGTCAGTGGCAGAAGCCGAGCACACACCCAACATGGCCTGAGCACTAGATCACTGCATCACTGTCTGTTTAATGGTGTGGCTGGAGATTATGGACTGAGAGGCCAGTCCAGATAGGAGTTTGTAACCTTCTCTAATTTCTGAATATCCTTCATCTTTTCCAGTTAAATTGATCCAGAACTCTCCAAATCTTCATGTTTTCCACCTAGAATGTGATTTCTTTTCAAATTGTGAGTCTCTTATGACTGTGCTTGCTTCCTGCAAGAAACTCAGAGAGATTGAGTTTTCTGGACGATGCTTTGAAGCCATGCCATTTGGTAAGAACTATACAACATTGATTTTAGATGCTCCTGTGCACAAAGTCATTAAGTACTCTAGAATTAAAAGTCTGCTGATGTCACAGAAACTGTGACAGCACCTGACTTCAGTGAGTCTTTCACAGCAATGAAGTGCATCTGTGTCTACCACGTAAGCATTTCCTTTTCAGAATTGTTTCCTCTACTTAGTCATAGTAATTCAATCTGAATATTATATCACCTTTCATCACTTTTGAAACACTCTTACTTCAATGGTATTCCTCTGTGCCACAGGAAATGTATCTGAACTAACCATATTTCATTTTCCCTTTTCTAGTCACCACTTTGCCAAATTTTGTTTCACTGAAGATATTGAAACTTGGGCGCCAACAGTTTCCAGATAAGGAAACATCAGAAAAGTTTGGTAAGTTTATAAACAGAGTTTCTTAATGTATTCTTTATCCTCCTCCCCTCCTTCCTCCTCATCCTCTTCAATGAACCTACAAGAAAGCAAGCTGTGTACAGTTGTCTCTTGACATCCATGGCAGCTGGGTCCAGGACCTCGGCTGATGTAAACACTAGAAGATCCTCCACTCCATGATATAAAATGGTGCAGTGTTTGCTCATGACCCTACATATCCTCCATATGCTTTAAACCATCTCTCAATTACTTATAATGCTAATATAATGTAAATGCTATGTAAACAAGTGTTACACTGTGTGGTTCTGGGAATAACGGTGAGGGGGAAATGTCTATATGTGTTTGGCACAGACACAATTTTTAAAAATTGAACCTGTGGTTGGTGGAATGTGCTGGTACAGAGGGTCAGCTGTACCAGCTATGCTGGTCTTTAGGAGGACACCATAGTGATGCTCAATATCACCCCCAGATGCCATCACTGTTGGTCCCACACATCCTCACACTTGATCTCATTAAATGCAATATTCTCAGACTCACTGACTTCTTAGGAGAGAATTTGGTCCTAATAGCACTGTGGAACTTGATAGTCTGGCACACACTCCAAATATGCAACATCCTTTCTTGTTTCAAAGGTTTCAGAATTCATACTCAAACTTCTATTTAGTTTAAGAAATCTAATCTGTGATAAATCAAATTGAACAAAACAATAAGTGTAGAGTTTATATGCTTTTTTGAGTTACGAAATGTCTAGAAAAGTAATGTGCTTCCATGGGAAACATTAGCAGGTTAAAAAAGTGGGGAGACAATGGTGATATGGGGTACAGAGCTCTGTCTTCACACTACTTCCCAGACTTTGTGTGCATAAGGAGAGCCTGCCCCCCCCCCCACTTCTCTTCTCTGTGTGGAGGCAGCTGCTGTGTGCTTGCTTTGGAGGTGCTGGTAGTCAGGTGTGGTGAAGCAGCTTTGGTCCTGGAGGTGCTGGTAGTCAGGTGTGGTGAGGCAGCTTTGGTCCTGGAGGTGCTGGCAGTCAGGTGCGGTGAAGCAGCAGAGACAGCATCAGGTCACTGTCACACGTCACAGGTTAACTATGTAAAATGCACACTGACTAGAATGACAGTCAAGTTTCCCCACTGCTGGAGAAGAAACTTACAGATATTAAAACAGGAGGCTGGGCAGACATAAGGAAGCACGTATTTGGATTCCTGTGCCCCGCTTGGAGAGAAGCCTTAATGGACTGAATTGTTTCTTCTTTTTAAAAATGAGTGCGTATAGACTGTCGCTGTGAATTTGAGGATTTTCCTCACCGAGGTCTGCCGAAAGGACAGACTTTTCAGGAAAAAGGCTTGGGAGGTAGCTCAGCAAGTCAGAAGCCTGGCGCCAAGGTTGACAACCTGAGTTCGATCCCTGGGACCCATATGATGGAATGAGAGAGCCCCCTTGTGCAAGCTATCCTCTGCCTCTAAACCCCTGAACCCACGCCAGGACACACACATGTCAACACACACACAATAAATACATACAGATGTGATTTCAGTTGTTTTTAAATGTCTGGAAGAAAGAAAGAACCATGAATTGGAAATATTGGTGCAGACTGGGTTTGTTAGCCATAAACATACATAAATCTATGTCCATGTATAGAAATCTAGGTTTCTATACACAGGAATCTCTTGGGACAGTCACATGAGACCAGAACGCACTTGACTAGTAATAGACACCAGTGCTCAGCTGCTCATTTCTTTTCTATTTTAAAGTTTTGTTTTCTGTACCCAGAGCTGGGATAATTTCTTTCAGTGGGTAGACATCTTAAGTACACCATTTGAGAAAGATCACTTAGAACCTGGCAGTGGTGGTACATGCCCATGATTCCAGTCCTGGGAGGGTGAGGCAAGGGCTAGCCTGAGCTATAGAGTGAGACTGTCTTTTAAAAGCCCCAAATGAATCATTTAACCCAACTAAATGAAACTTCTGTCCTATGCACACTAACATAACTAGTGCCAGTACACACTGACACTGAAATTCTATGTCCAGCTTTGCTGGTGTGAGCAGATGTGACAAGAACAGGTCTTCACAGGTGTCTCCACAGGGGGCTCGGCAGAGCTGCTGGCTACCATTCTTGCTTTGTGTTTATAGAAACAATGGAGGAAACCAAGGCCAGTTATTGAGGTGTTTGTGACTCTGTGCATATGTGCATGTCAGAGGCATGGAGATGGAACCCAGGGTCTCAACCACGCTAAGCAAGTGCTGTGTCACTGTGTCAACTGCCCAAATCCCTGGACTTGATTTCTAAATACCTTTCCCAAAACAGTCAGTCTGCAGAGACATGGTTCATTCGAGGACTGACACAGGGAAGCCGAAGATAAATCTGGAACATTGGTTCACGCCAGAAAGTTTTCAAAATAGTTTCTGTGGGGCCTCGGAAGTAGACTTAGTGATCACGTGGTGTACAGTGTCCTCTAAGCACCAGTGAACTTGGGGAGGAAGGCTGCCCCAGTGGTGAACCATGCTTTAGTGCTCAGTGTGGGTCTCCTCAGCGTGGCATCACTGGGGTGATGGCAGGAGGTGGGATGGTAAAGAAGGGTGTGGGGTGAGGGCTTTGTGGATCAGTAGAGTGACCTGCAGTGGAGGCCCTGCTTTAGAAGAGAGAGCAGAAATGGACAGACAGCCTGGACCTGTGTGAAGAGTCAGGTGGGGAGGATGGAGGAGCCAGCTGCAGAGAGCAGCAGGGAGCCGCTGTGTGCTGACCCCTTCTCCTTTCCTTGGAGAGGACAGTGACGAGGAGGGCCCCTGCTAGGTGGGGCCTCCTGGACTGCAGAAGGTCTAGGTCATCAGCTGCTCGCTCATGCCGGGACTACTACTGAGGATGGCTTTGTGGTGTCTCCCACAGCACAGGCTCTGGGTTCTCTCAGGAACCTGGAGGAACTACTCCTTCCCAGTGGGGACGGGATTCACCACGTGGCCAAACTGATTGTCCGACAGTGTCTGCAGCTTCGGTGTCTCCGAGTTCTTGCCTTTAAGGAGACCTTGGATGACGACAGTGTGATGGAAATCGGTGAGTTCCCCTCAGGGAAAGGGTTTCCCCCTGTGTGGAAGCAGTGGCATCATTGGAGCTGTCTGCTGGGAATGTCTATACAAACATCTGACCTACAGACTGTTCAACCTACCTCTTCATGGCATCATTGGAGCTGTCTGCTGCGAATGTCTATACAAACATCTGACCTACAGACTGTTCAACCTCTCTCCTCATTTCCACTCTCCCGCTGCTTCCTCTCGTGCCCTTCTGCAGATTTCGGTTCATTCTGGTCAGACTGGGCAGGCCAATTGCCTCTTTTTTGGGGGGAAGGGGGGGTTGTTTTTTTCAAGACAAGGACAGTCCTGGAACTCACTCTGTACACCAGGCTGGCCTTGAACTCACAGAGATTCGCCTGGCTCTGCCTCCCGAGTGCAATGATTAAAGGCATGGATCACTACTGCCCCAGCGCCAATTGCCTCTTTGGGAGCTATAGAAGCCATCTTTGCTGGGCTTCATTCATGTATGCTAGGCCAGTGTTCTACACTTCACCACAGCCCAGGCAGGTCTGTAGGACACTTGGTGTTTCAGCAGCCTGGCAGGATATCTTTTTGTTCTTTAAGTGTTTACAATATGTATAGGAAGGTGTGGAAGTCTGCAGATAAAGCCGAACAAGATTCTCCAGTTCATGGTCTTGGGAATTTTGCTGAGTACATTTAAACCACGATTAGAACACAGACCATCACCAATGCCAGAAGCCTAGGTCCCACCCTTAAGTAAATAATGAATCAATCGATCTCTGCCCCTTGTCTACCTTCCTTATGGCTCTAGTTTGCCTTCATATCTTGAAGCTAGGTGCACAGCACATGCAGAGCTGTGAGGTCTTTCTGGTAGACCAGGGTTCCTCACCTGTGACGCCACTTCCTGCCTTATTCTCGCTGCTTGTATATTAATACTATAGGCATCCAGCGTTCTTTCCATGACTTTTTCCTGCTTTTAAATCTATGTCCCTGATTTTAACGCGAGTCTCTTCTACAGTTACATAGGTAGATTTACAAGTTCAATCTAGGAAGGAGTTCTGTTGGTGAAGCGCTTGCCTAGCGTGCACGAAGCCTTGGGCTTGGTCCCTAGCACAGCTCACAAACAGGCATAGCAGTTATAATGGTACACATCTGTAATGCCAACACTCAAGAGGCAGAGGCAAGAGGACCATCATCAACCAGATCACGATCCCTGCCCACATAGTGAGCCCGGGGCCAGCATGTGCTATAGGAGACCCTGCCTCAAAACAATCAAAAACCCCACCATCACCCAAATAATAAATGGTACAACTCTGAGGTTGCAGAGATGGCTAAGTCTGTAAAATATCTCCAGTCCATGCGGGAAGTGCTCAGTGTGAGATGCAGCAAGCTCCCAGGAGGGGGCGCTAAGAAGCTGAGGACAGGAGACTCCATAGAAGTTAGCCAGGCAATCCATTAGAATCCTTGAACTCCAGGTTCACTGAAAACTGGTCTCAAAAAGTAAGGTGCACTGAAAACTGGTCTCAAAAAGTAAGGTGCAACTGACAGGACATCCATCACTCACTTCTGGGCTCCACACACACCCACACATACACATGGATCACACACACATCCCACATACACCCACACACATACACATGGATCACACCCACACCCACACATATATGTGGATCACACATACATGTGGATCACACACACACACACATCCCACACATACAGAAATTTTAAAACAAAAATACAATCCATTCATCTTTTATTTACATTGAATATATTTGTAACTACGGTTGAATTTTTACTTTTTTTGAGACAGTGACTGTTGATTAATAGTCCAGCCTGGATTTTACCTTGCTATGTGGCCCTCAATGGCCCTGAACTCTTGCATCAGCCTCCCCAGAGCAGAGAGGACAGGGGTGTGTCAGCCCTCTGTGTATTGTTATTTGGTATTGGTTTCTTTATTTCTTCCATAGGATATGTGGATTTTTTTCTCTTCTTTTTTGCTTCCTACATTTATTAGCTTCTTAATTACACATTCTCTTTTTCTTCAGGGGGTGGTTAGGTAGGGTCTACTCTATAGCCCAGACTGGTTTCAAACTCACAATGTAATTCAAATTGGCTTTGGATCCATGGCCATCCTCCTGTTTCAGATTTCAAGGCTTATTGTGGCCATGCATAGCTCCAGCTCTATGTTTTTCCTCTTTCGGTGTTATCTTGGATAATAAAATTTGCAATTGGGATAATATAAATTAATATATGAATGCACACTTTTACCACTTTATGAGTCACATAGGTGTTCCTGGAATATTTAAGTTCTATTTATCTGGGTTGTCAACGCGGCTTAGCAAGTAAAGGGCTTACTGCCAAGCCTGAAGACTGAAGTTTGATCCCACAACATGAAAGACGAGAATTGACTGTCCAGAATTGTTCTCGTACCTTCATGTACATGCTGTGCATGTGGGCGGGCACACACACACACACACAGAGTAAAAATACTTAAATTACACCCTACATTCACCCTCTACCTCTTGCGTGTCATTGATTTTGGATTCTAAGGCATTTTAACTCTTCAATTAGTATTTTAAACATTCTGGGCTTAGTATTCACAAACTAGATTTGCTTGTTTTATTTTTTAATGTTGGTGTTTTTGAGACAGGGTCTCCTATGTTGCCCAGACTGGTAACAGACTTGCAGTAACCTTCCACCTCTGTGTCCCGAGTGCTGGTGTTCCTGTCTCTGTGCCTGCTGTATTGATTCATGGCCGCTGTTGCTCCCGAGCCTCCCATGTTTCCATTCGGCAGGGTCCTTTTCCTTCTGCTGAAGGGCTCTGTTAGCATTTCTTCTACTCTGGGTCAACTAGTCATGACTTCTCTCCCATTTTAATGATATGAAAATGGCTTTTGCCTTCATCTTTGAAATACTTTCCCAGTGCATTCTTTTTGGAGTTACTTAGGTTTCTGGCCTGTATCATTTCTTTTGTTTAGTGTCCATTTTCAGTGTTTTCATGATATGATGTCCTTAAAGGTGAGGTGTCTTTTCCCCCAACTCAGTAGCTTTTAAGATTCACTTTTTTTTTTTTCTAACAGAGTCTCTCTATGTAGCCCAGGCTGGCCTAGAACTCCTAATCCTCCTGCTTCGGCATCCAGAGCAGCTGGAGCTAGAAGCTTTGCTTTGTGGCAGTGGACATACACTTCATTTTGTCTTCCCAAAGTCCGTATGTTGAAGTCCTAACCCCAAAGTGACTGCATTTGGAAATAGGGGACTAGTATATGGCCACCAAGACAACTAAAACCGCAGCTGAGTTCAGCATGACTGGGGTGACTATTCTACCTGGGGTCTGGAGAACTGATGGGATCTGAGGCTTGACATCTTTTTGTCAGCTTTGGGGCATTCTTAGGCAATGCATTCTGCCAAATTCTCGCTGTTTCCTTCCACATGCAGCAGAACTCAACCTGATTTGGGCCAGGGAAGGGCTGTGGGGGTGAGGTTACCGCTAAGACCTTCTATACGATGGTGGAGCCGAGCAGGGAGAGGAGGCATTGACATTCTGAATAGTAAAACCTCATGTGTCCTAGAACCAGGTCCATTTGAAGAACTTTTAAAAATCAGCACATAGTGTCTGGAGTGAGAGGCAGGAGTTCTAAAGAGACAGGAGAGGAAAGGAAAGGTCCTGCTGGGGTGGGCTTCATGGGTGTGTTAGAGACGTTGGGTTTCATCTTGGGACTGCTCAGCACTGTTACTTTATAAATGCTATTTAAAGTGCTAATTCCAGGTGTGGTGGCACATACCTGTAATCTCAGCACTCAGGAGGCAGAGGCAGGCAGATCTCTGTGTACGTGCAAGGCCAGCCTGGTCTGCACAGTTCCGTGCCAGCCAGAGCTACATAGTAAGAGTCCGTCTTTAAAAGTGAATGAACAGAACAGAATAGGGACCCGTTCTGAGAATTCACACTGAAGCCAAACCAGTGCTAGGTGCCCACTTCCGGTCACGGCCTCCGGTTGAGACCTTACCCTACCTAGCCTGCATTTCCTCCAGAGCTCCAAGTAACCAGGAAGTCATCTGGGCAAGCTGGAGAGCAGGCACAGTGAGAGGACATGTGTTAGGACGGCCACCTTCCGTTCTCTGCAAAAAGGGAGCCGCTGTTGCCACCATTTCTCAGTCCCCGATAATGTAATCTGTTCCACAGCTGTGCCCCGCCTTGGCATGTCTTCCTGTGTGACCAGAAGAGAAGCCCACATTGCCCAGAGAGCCAAAATTCTGTCCTGGACTTCCTGGCTTCTGCTTCCTCCAAACTGCTTGCAGTTTGGCCAGGTGGTTCGCTACCAACCAAGAGTGATCTCTTAAAAAAATGTTTCAAAGAGTGATCTCTTAAAAAAATGTTTAAAGCCAAGCGTTGTAGCGCATGCCTTTAACCCGAATGTCAGAAGGCAGAGGTAGGACGATGTGAGTTCTAGGCCAGCCTCCTCTACATAAGTGAGTTCTAGACCAGCCTCATCTACATAAGTGAGTCCTAGGCCAGCCTCATCTACATAAGTGAGT